TTCTGCCTTTATTCTTTTGTCTCTAAATGGATTTAATGAGCCTGAAAAACATGACAATTGAATATAACCAAGAAATAAAAAATAACGAGGGAGAAAGGAAGGAGGAAAAGAAAGAAGGAAGGGGAAGGATTAATAAAATAAAGGGAAAGATCCATTCAATGTAGTAAATGTTTATTGTGCGTCTTTTTGGCTCCAGGCCGCTCTAGGGGTGGGAAAATGGAAACAAATCCGATCTAGTTCCTGCCCTCAAGGAGCTCTCAGTCTAATGGAAGAGACCCACCGCATACCCGGCGCTAACAGAGGACCTGGGCCCAGGGGCAAGGAAAGTGCATTTGCTGAACTCGGAGAGACAGCTTCGGGCTTCGAGTGGTGGGGGCTTCACGGAGGAGGTGGCCTTGGACCTAGGCCTTGAAAGACAAGAAGGAATTCGTTGTTCTTATAGGCCATAAAGAAGGTCTGGTGAAAGAAGGACAAGACCATCGTCGGAGGGAAGGGGAGAGAAGCACATGCAGAAGCCCTGGGCTTTGCCCACAGCCGGGAGGTCCGGGGAGAGCGCGCCGCGCGCTAGATCCCGCACACTTTGGGGAGCGGACTCGAGCCGCCCCGCAGTTTCCTAGGCTCTGCTGGATTCAATGCCTGCGCCAGGCCGCTGGTGGCCTTCCAGAGACCCACCGACAGCGCGTGTGGCCGTTGCGGCCGGACTCTGCCTGGCCAAATACCGCCGCATGGAGCTGGTTTACTGGCCGAATCGCTCAGGGAGGCAGTGGATACGCCGGCCAGGCCTTGGGGTTTGACTGTAGGCTGGAGCAAGGGGCTGGAATCCGGGGCCTGAGCTCCCGCCCACCCTCTCCTCAGCTCTCCCGACCTTGATGGTTAGCTGCGACCCGCACGCCGGTGCAAGCGCGGGCGCTCGGATGGCCTTGGCCGCGCCTGGGGCTCTACTACAGGGAACTGTGATGTAAAAGGGCCTCGAATACGAGCGCCGGCTCTGGGCCTCTGAGCAGGAGCCCGCTGAGCCTACCTAGGGCGCGGCTGTGTGGTGTGTGCACCGCCTGTGTGCGCTCCATGGGAGCGTGGCGTGTGCATTATGTGTGTTGTTCTCTGAGTGCGAGTGTGCGTGTGAGTGTGGCGTGGATAGGTGAGGTGTTGTGAGCCCTGCGCCCATTCTCAGACGAGATTCGTTAAAGCTTGGGACCCTCTGGGCCGCGCGCCCTGTGCTCCGAGTTACTTCATCTCCTGGGGCAATTGTAGACATGTTCCGCGTACGACTCTGGCCACTCTGCAGACCCGCTTTCAATTACCCGCTGCCCTGGCGAAGCGACCCGGCTTTGTCTCTTCCCCGTTGGGCGCGAGGCCTTGGCCGGCTCACCAACTTCCCGAAGCAGGAGATTTCTGATCTTCTGACTTGGGACCCCGCGACATGCGGACAGGCGGGACCCCATTGCGCAGTTTAGCTAGCTCTCTTTCCCCGCTCCGCCTTCCCGGGCCCCGGGGCTGGCGGGCGGCGCCGCGTGAGGCGGAGAGGCACAGTTCCTTATTTTACGAGGTACCCGGCCGGTGTCAGACGCAGCTCTGATAAGTAATACTCCAGTCTGAGGGACCAGAACGTGGTAATTAATCCCAAAGACTTAAGTGTATTTTAGTTCAGGAGAAAAAAAATCACTAATTCAATCGTCCGGAAAATTGAAGTTTGATGCATGAGTCCCCCCTGAAAGGGACGGGCTGGGGCCGCATGCCTCCCCTCCGCCCCTGCTGGTAGCCGTGGGGACCCCCTCCTCCCCACCCTTCTGAGCCTTCAGGTCCGAGAAAGTCCAGCCACCCAGCTCTGCATGTCCGCAGCTGCTGGAACCCAGGGGCACCTTGTGCTCCCTATCCTCTTTTTGGGGCCCAGGAAGTGGTTTGTGCTAAGAATACGGATGTTCCCCTAAGACGTACACCTGGGAAGGGGCATAAGAAAGCCAGGGAGGGGTAGGGAAGAGGGACTAGATACGGGACCCAGCGTGGACAGGGTCAGGGGCTGCAAAAGCATGTGGGAGATCTGAAACCTCAGTGAACTGGCATCATGAGAGGCAGCAGGTAGGAAGTTGCTGTTGTAAAGTGGAGAATTGTGTATGCCGGTGTGAGTGGGATTAGAACTGTGGGTGTGCTGGGTGGTGGTTAGCCTGTGGAATGGTGGGAGGTTGAGTTGTGTGGGAAATAGGTGCGTCTCTAGACAGTGCATGTGCATGAATGGAGGTCCTGGGCAGAGGCTGGCAGACCTGGGGCAGCTGAGAGCCTGTCCCTAAGTGGGTAAACAGACCATGCCTCCCAAAGGAAAGACCCCTGGGACTGGAATAAAGTGAGGGTTCTTTGTCCTGATGCATGTACATGACGGGGAGAG